AGACGATTCTCCGCGAGACACGTTCCGCTCAAGTGATTCTCAAGCTTTCTCGCTACGGGACAGACGTCCTGTGGTGAAACGAGGCGCAGAATTGGCCGGTGAAGACATTGTGCATGTCACGGTCCGTGTTACCCCACAGCAAATACATCCGTCCAGCATTCGCGTAGAGTTCGAGAAACAGAGTGGCAGCAAGAGGGGAAGAAGACACCATAAATATCACAATATTGAAAAAACAACCCTATAAAAACCCTGATTGAACTTATCACAGTACGGAGAAAAATGTGAAGAAATATACGCTAAAATTATAGTAAATTTTATGGAATGGCAGGTTCATATATTGAGCAAGAGCCTACTTGTGTAAAATTTACTTTACTTTTCTGGTAAACGAGCGATTGTCGTATAGCTGTACTATATAGTAAGGTACTTTTTACATTTCGTAAAGTAAATTTTGAGAGTTGTCCAAATTTTCAGATTTCTTGAAAATAGTATGATTTACTTTACGTAAATAATAATTACTTGAATGGATTTACTATTGTGTAATGTATTTTTTACACTTTGATCCAGTATTTTTACTTTCAGGCAAGTAAAGTTTATCATAAGTTCGGCAAAAATAGCCAGAACATTTGTACTAGTCTTATAAGAGAGAAATTATTTAACCATTTTTCTCCGTGAAGAAACGAAATAAAAGTTTATGATCATGATAAGAATAGTCAACTTGGATATTTTTTGCATATCTCATATAAATAAATGTATAAAGAAATGTTGAAGAAAATGTGTTTAATAATTTACGTAGAAATATTATTAGGCACTAAGATCCAACCTCGACGGTATTTGGGGCTCATTAATTAATTAACGTAAATGTATAAAAATACACACATTTTCAGTTAAAAATCTCTCAAGTAGAGCTGTCTATTACTTTGATAACTTCGAAGATTCATAAGCTTTGAAAGAATTCAAACCTTCAAAGTTAAATTCGAGAGTTTGAAGTTTAAGGTCTTCGAAACTTTGAAAAATATATTTATGTGAATAGAAAGAAATAAAAATACAATCATAATATATATATTCGTAAATATATTTATATATCTCTTTATAAAAATCTATTCATTTATTGACTATACTATTAATTACATTAAATTAATACTTGTACAATTTTGATTTTTCGAAGCTTCGGAGATTCGAAGCTTGAAGCCTTCGAAGCAAATGGCCATATACTCTCGTTATTTCGCATTTTACGGAAGATACCCTACATGAGCAACGCTTGACTCGAAATGGTCGCAACTATTGGCGGTGTGCTGAATAGTTTTGTTGGAAAATTAATTGAGAGTCGCAAAACACGCTACGTTGCAGACCGGCGTAAATGAGAAGAAAATTCCACAAACTTGTTCGGCATAGAAGTGGCGAACCCTCAGGCGAGTTCCGTGGTTGATCTGAGGATTTCCTGTATGCACAATATTATTATTAAAATTATTTATTATTAAAAATATGTACGGTATTGAAAATGGCAATTCTATACAAATAATGTTAATAAATTTTAAAATCTTGAAATGATCTTGCAAGTTATAAAAATATTAAAGTACGTAGATAGATCAACATACGATTATTTGATGAAAAAAATCATTATATCATTATACTATATTGGGATAAGGAAAAGTCTTTCTACATATAGCCGATACATGGAGATCTGATCGATTTTTTAAGTGTCACTGTGTGACGTATTAGGTTATATATCATCGGAAAGGTGCTATTTCATATAACACTTAGAAATAGATTGATCATAGATTTGAACGATACTGACGCATTCAATCAAATTTGAAAATGAATGAAAATTAAGAATTTTTCCGACACATTTTACTTTTTTATTTTTAAAAAGATAAGAACGCTGCGCAAGTTGCAGAAAAAATTAGTCATGTTTATGAAGAGGATGCTCTAACTAAACAAACAGCAGCGGATTTCGCCAATTTCGAGATGGAAATTTTGATGTCAAAGATGCACATCATTCTGGTCGGCCTATTGTGAAAAATGTCGATGAAATCTTCCAAAAAATTGAAGAAAATCGTCATGTGAACAGCTATGACTTACTTAAGGAGCTAAACATTGATCATAAAACTGTTTTGGGGCACTTGTATAAGGCTGGATATACAAAAAAGCTCGATATTTGGGTGCTATATTTGACGGTAAAAAATTAATGGATCGAATTTCCATTTGTAAATTGCTGTTGAAACGATACAAAATTGAACCTTTTCTGAAAAGACTGATAACGGGCGATGAAAAGTAGATAACATATGATAATAATGTTCGAAAGGGATCGTGGTCGAGAGAGAGAAACGAAATGAGGCATCACACAACAATCGCAAAATCCAGATTGACGTCAAAGAAGGAGTCGTCCATTATAAACTGCTGCCGCCAGGCAAAACGATTGATTCTGATCTCTACCGTCAACAACTAATAAAATTGGAGCAATCCATTCAGGAAAAAAGGCCAGAATTGATCAATAGAAAAGCCGTTGTCTTCCATCATGATGCTACTAGGCCACACACATCTCTGATGACTCGACAAAAATTGAGAGAGCTTGGCTGGGAAGTTTTGATGCATCCACTGTATAATTTTGACGTCCGATTACCATTTGTTTCGATCTTTGCAAAACTTCCTTAATAAAGTAAACTTGACTTCAAAAGAGGCCTGCGAAAATCACTTATTCTCGGTATTTTACCGAGAAATCATAGAAGTTTTACACTGATGGAATAATGACTCTACCCAAAAAATAGCGAAAGATCATCGACCAAAACGGCACATATTTGGTTTAATAAAAGAATTTGTAAACAATTAAAAAAATATGTTTCAATTATGCTCTAACTTGTAAAAAGACTTTTTCCCTAACCCGATACACATAAAGCAGCATCTTTATCTTCATTAGATGCGAACTTTTACTATTATTTTATTTTGTAATAATTAAATTCATGTTACATTTTTGTGACGTTTGTATAAAGTAAAATATTGCAACGATGGTAATGCACTCGTTTTTATCTTTCATTTACGAAATAATGAGCCTATTATCAATAGACAACAGAGTTCTTAACTTTTGGAAAAATAAAATCTAGGAAAAAAAAAATTAGAAGGACTTTGTTTACCTACAAAACGATTGCCTGATTCAAAAAAATATTACTCGTGAATTCATCATATCATAAGAATAAGTTATTTAATTTTAAATGAAGCTGTAAAAATATGACAATTAATCCCGTGTTCTGGGTTGATTGTTACACGCTCTAGGATTGGCAGTAACATAGTATAATATTCGTTATAGACAACACACATAAAAAATACAATTTTTATTTTAATATCAGTTCTATATTTTGAGAAATAATAGTAATTATGGTATTAATAAAAATAAAATAGTTATTTTAATTATAAAATATGTAATTTATTTTTTTAATTTTTATACGAAAAATAAAAAAAAAACATAAATCTATATAAAATATAATATATTTGTATATATAAGTATATTCTCTGAAAATGTGTTCACTAAAGATATTAAAATTAATTGACATAGCCATTTTTAATAAAAAAGATTGTATTCGCAAACCTTGTCATGATAATGATTAATGAATTGTATCATATTTGATTAATAATGTCAAAGATTCGTCAGACAATAAAATAGGTGATAAGAAAAATTTACTCACCAACTTCATTTTCTTAAAAACCGTTATAAGTAATATATACAATGCTTGTGATGCAAATCATTTTAAACAACAAATTAATATTATAACAGTAATCTACAGTCGAAAAAAAAAATTCTTTTGCCGTCCTGTTTGAATTATAAGCATTTTGACAATCAATCCCGTATACGACAACCAGCCCCGGGGTCTCCCCTATATACACACATAAAGGATAATAAAAATAAAATTATCTTAAAAGAAAAAAGTCTGGAAAAATATGGTAAAGAAAAAAAACTGGAAAAAATAGTTTTTCCTTAAAGTTTCTAAGAATTTATACTGACTAAGAACATTAATAAACAATAATTATAAGTTGCGTTCGAGGAACGTTATCAGCACTGTTGTATCATTTTATTTTTACTGTTCAGATGTAAAACATGGATAGAACGATGCAATAGCTCTGATAACGCATTTCTCGAATGCAGATTATAGTCATTGTCTATTAATCATGGTCTATAGTTAACGCAGATTATAGTCATTATCTATTAATCATTGTCTATAGTTATCGATAAGAAGCTCATTATTACACATACGAAAAGAAATATAGTACCGATGAATATATAAGTATTGACAGAAACGAATATCGACATGTATTGTCATCGTTGTGTGTAAGATTATAAAACAGTCGACCTACATTTATTGCAAAGAACAATTGCTTCTTTTTATCAGTAAAACACTTGATATGATACACATTATACGGTGCAAGCCACTACATTGATCATTTACGAAAGTTGTTACGATAAACGCGTCCTGATGATGGAATTTTTTGTGTGCTGGAAGTTCTACGAGAATATAAAAGAATGTACAATATGTAAAAGTTAAAATTAGTATTAATTAAATTAGTTATAAATTAATGAAACATTTATGACTACCATTTCTACTATTTTAATGATAATACAGCAAACATACATATAAGTATATATAAATTATATTAATAAAATTAGAAGAATTTACATTTATATATAAGACAATATCTTGTAAAATTTTTTTACTATGCAGAAAATCGCTATTATATATTAATGAATCAGAATTTATAGATACATACTTTTAAATTATTTTTTTATTGGTAATTTTATTCTGGTATATATTCTTTTTTTCCAACCTTATATAATTTAGTAATTAAATTGTCTAAATAAGAAAATCATTCTAAGCCATAGGAGTCAAACGCAAGTTGTTTTTGAAGCGAAATTACATTTAATTATAATAAAATTCCAAGAACGTTTCGACTCCGAATTCGAGTCATCCTCAGCTTAATATAATAACAATTAAATAATACCGCATATTACAAAAATGCAAACATCGCCGCAATTTTCCGATGGTATGTCGAATGTGACTCTTCCGGTAAGGACATGAGAACACGAGCAGTTGTCCAACGCAGTTGCTTAGCTGAATTGAGATAAACCTCTAGCTGAAAATTGTTGTAGAAAAAAAAAATTTTTTAATTGTACAGGGGACAACGATGACTAAAAATGCTCATCTCACATCTCCAGACAGGTCACAAACAACCTTGTAAAATACTTTTCGAACCAAGAATACAATATTCGTCACATATTAAAATTGGAAATTTTTGAATAAATTAAAATGAAATAAAATAAAACGAGTGAACATGTGAACTTGTCGAATTGATGTTACGACGCGTAATAAACAAAATGTAAGAATGTAACAGTGAATAGAAACACGGCAATAACCTACAAACTTTTTAATATCTTTCAATACATATTTAATTATGAAAAAATTAATGTATATTTTGATTGTTTTAAACGGCTTTTATCTCATTTTATTTATATTTTTTATTTCTATTTTTTACAAAAATTCATAGTTCTCTTACAAAAATAAATTATTTTAAAATATTTTTTAATTTTTTTATTTTTTCGCAGAGCCATAGGATAAATTATAAACGCAAAAAGAAGTAAACATTAAGTAAAAAATAGCAAAAAAAATGTTACCTAGTTTGTCTTGAACACGCGATAACGACCAGCCATTTACTATGCGATAATGGTACTTGTTAAGATACAAAACTGTAAAAATAAAAATTTTTTTAAAAGCGGCCAAAGCTTAAGTTTCAAGCTTTAAAATACTTTTGTTATATTTTTTACCTGCGATGATTTCTTTTATCGAATTTTTGGTGATCAGAATATTGTGCAATTTAAAATTCCATGTTCGGAAACTTTTCCACAGTAGTATACATAATGAAATATATAAGTAAACATATAAGTTATAAAAATATAATATAATAAAACAATATATACACCTATACTACTTATAATGCATAACAATACATAAGATTTGAAGTATAAATGTACTAACATCTTTCATTTCGTACATTTTATATTATTATTCTGGATATAAAAATTTACAACAAAACGAAATGATAAACTTTATTAATTAATATTATCAAATCAGATGTCGTAAATGTCACATTAAAAACTTTATACTAATACGGAGTTTTATTAGTATATGTAATTATAAAGCAGTATAATTATTATAGTCAAAGTAGTTTTATTCGGCTTGGTGCTGTCTCTCTTGATGCTAAATGAAGTTGAACCTAAAAGTTACAAGCTTTTGAATGTAGAAAAGGGACAAACGTATTATCTATGTAATAACGGTCTATGTGATGATATCAATATGAAGATGAATACACTTGGCAAATACGCAGCGCCTATGTTATCAAAGCAACATGTTCTATTGATCTAGTAAGTTTGTTATATAAATTTTGTTTGAAATTTAGACATACATATATCTTAATTAGATTTTTAAGCATACCATAAGGATTTTAATCAAGAATTTGTATTATTATAATTATTGCCAAAGTTGTTTTTAAAAAAAGGATAAAAAGAACGCTTATGCGCGCGCAAAAAATTTAATAAATTATTTCACAGGATAGTGACTGTAATGCAAATAAATTTCTTGTTAACAATGGACGTTCCACATCTACCTATTGTGGTATTGCTACATTTGCCTTCGAAGGATTTAATCCAACTATAAAATTGATTTCGACATTTAACTCGCAAAGTCGATTTTCATGTAAAATTGAAACTGATACAAATAATGATACAAATACCTGTCAGTGTAGTAGGAAAAAAGTGGTAAGTTTAAATTAAAATTTATGAAATGCTACTTATTTATTTGAAAGTTTTTATTTATTTTTTATTTATTACTTTACGCAAAAAAAATAGATTTGGTGATATAGCAAAGCTACAGCTTACTACGCGAATTCAATATATATAACTATAAAGAAGATTTGATAGTTTAACAAATCGCTAATATTATTCAACTGTCAATTCAACTTTGCTACTTTAACATAGAAAACCGACTGTCCGTATATTACGAGTATAGATTTGCTGAATCAGTGAAATTTTTAGCTGTTCTTTTTTTCTAGTATTCTTTGTTGTATTTGGCTTCAATCAACTATGTAAATTTATTAAATATAGTAATTTATTCGGTATTAATAAATATTATTTACATTGCTTATTTATTGTTAGACTAAAATAGTAGGCGGTAAGGAAACCCAAGTAAATGAATTTCCTTGGATGGTTGGATTTATGAATGCTGAATCTGGAAAAATATTTTACGGTGGTACTATAATATCTGAACAATATGTAATAACAGCAGGTCATTGCGTAGTCATGTTAATGCGTAGATTCCTTAATAGGACTATCGTAGTTGTTGGTGAACATGATACATCCACAGGTGACTGTTGATGAGATATATACTGATATCTATTATAAATAATATTTAAAGGTTATAAATATTTAAAAAATGTTTAGCAAATGAAATTTGCGTTTACAGTTACAATAATGTCAAATTGAATTGCATAATTATTTCCTTGTAATACAAATTATTTGAAAAGTTAATGATATGAAACTTTTATAATTTTTTTGTTAATAGAAAAAAGATCTTTTAATAGGAAGGGAGAAAATATTTTTTATTTCTTTATTTAATCATAAATGTAGCACTTTATTCTTTACTGAATTGAAATTTTTTATTCAAAGTTACGAAGGATGAATAGCTAATAATGAAGTAACATTTAATATAAATCAGTTTAAAACATTATCGTTTATATGTAGAAAAATAATGAATGTAATGAAATCATCCTTGATTGTTAATATAAAATTTTTACAGTTATTATATAAGGTAAATATAAATTTAATATCGGAGTTTATATTAAATTTGTACATTATACTTTGCGGATAGATCGTGATACCAACGCAACCAAGATATATCAGCTAAGCAGATGTATAACTCATGAATACGATTCTTCGGCATTTGTTTACAATTCTATAGGTATTTGTAAGATTGTTGGAAGCATCAAATTTAGCGCTGAGGTTGGTCCGGTATGCTTACCATTTAAACATAAAAACGACTCGTTCACTGGTGATAAGGTCACTGCGTTGGGTTAGTATTTTCTGAGTATTTTCATAGTTACTAATATAATTATCAGTTTTAACATCATTTAATCTTTAGGCTGGGGTTTACTGGAATATGCCGGCAATAAATCCGATACGCTCCAAAAAGTAGATTTAGATGTAGTACCACATGAAGAATGCCCAGATAGTAACGACACTAATATATGTACTTTTACTCTGGGAAAGGATACGTGTGTGGTGAACAATTAGCTTCATTATTGTAAATTTAAATGTCAAATGTGCAAAATGTATTAGTCAAGAATTGTGATGCAAAACTATTTTTAAGTAATAGATTTCTTCTGTTTCTGTTTATGTCATATAGCTGGATGAGGGCGGACCTCTTTTATGGCAAGATCCTGCCACACATAATTTAGTATTAGCTGGTATTATTAATATAATTTATATATTTAATGGAAGCTGTAGTTATTCAGACAAACCTATTATAAACATACGTACAGGTGCTCATATCGACTGGATAGAATCCGTAACTTCAGGTAAGAGTCTGTAGAAAGGCGAATCAGAGGTATAAAAACTTTATTGTAAAAGAGAATCGATGTAATATGTATCGTTTTTTTTTATTGTAGGTGCACGATATTGCAAAATTGAATGAGCCTCGTAGTTAAAAAGAAGAACTGTTTTAGAAGATTATGGACCTCTGCCGACGCTTTGTATTATATATGTTTACTATTATGTTTTTAAATATATAACATATATTTTGAATTATATCCGCGATTATACATTGATATACATATACATGTATAAATATATGTGTGTCATGTATATGTGAATATATGTATACATCGTGCGTCCGCGTACGCGCGCGTGCACACACACACTCATATGTACGTAAAATAAATATAATGTAGATATATAAAATTTCAATATATGTAATAAATCATTAATGCATAAAAACATTAAAAAATTATATAATAATATAAATACAGGTAGAAAAATGAAACAAATTCTTACAAAAATGCATATATAATGTTAGTTATTTATTCGAAACTTTTTAAAAAAATACATATTGTTATATTATTTGTGACAATACTGTCACATTGTCTGTCCAATGCATATTATCTGTGTACAATTTTACAAAAAAGCTGTATACAAACAATCTTCTTCGGAACTGCTAGAGTTCTCAAGCTCCTCTGCTTCGGGACGAGATCGGAGCATTTTTTAATTTTCTGTATCGTTTCGTATTCTTGTATGCGTCTCCATACTCTCCAGATTTAAATTATAAAAAATGTTATTGATTAATTCGCGTGCACTTTTATTTTCTCGGTCGACCTTCCACTCGAAAACAATTACAATTTAATAAAAAAATTACAATTAAAATATTAAACAACGTTTAAATATTATTTTTAATAAATATGTAATATTATGAACATAAAACAATGCAAATTTGAAAAAATACCTTGAAAAATTACAGTTATACACTTGATCTCGGAGACTCCAAGCTCATTTCAAACGTTCATTACTTGATAGTTAGCGACGAATGGCGCGCGCCACCACATCTACCTGCTAAGGAAACCCTAAACTTTTTTTACGTCAACGTCCCGAACTTCCCTCCTTCCAATTTCAGAAATGCCAGCCTTAGAAAGTTTCACTAAGGTCCTGGGGAGCCAGTGTGTACGGCTAGAATTAAGGCTATGCTCTGTATTTGATGGGATATGGAAGGAGTGGTGTATCACGAGCTTCTGAATTCGAATGAAACAGTCAATGCCGAACGTTATTGGCAATAACTGGAGCGTTTGAATGATAATTTGATGCAAAAACAATCATCAATTGCATTAAATTGCCGAAAAGTGATTCTTCTCCACGATAACACTCGGCCTCATGTTATTTTGGCTGTAAAATAAAAGCTGTTGGAGCTCGAATGGGAGGTCCCGCCTGCAGTGTATTCACCGGACTTGGCTCGGTCAGATTATCTATTCCGCTCAATGCAACACGATCTGGAGGATACACACTTTGCAAACTACGGAGAAGTAAAAAAAGGGTTGTTAAATGAATCAAATCAAAAGACAAGCAGTTCTATCGACGCGGAATCCAACTTCTGCCAGAAAGATGCAAAAAGATCATAGCATCTAAGAACAAGTACTTTGATTAAGTATTCATTCATTTTGTTATTGAAATAAATGCGCTTTTTAGGCAAAAAAACTAGGCGGAAACTTTACGAACCCCCTAGCACATATATAGAAGGGATTACAGAGTATTGAAGTTAGGCAAGTTCCACTGTATCTTCTCTTAAAAGAAAACGGCAAAATTTCGTCCTTCGGAATCGATGCAAAACTGTTATAGGACTTATATGACTGTGTACAATCAGCATACGCACCACAAGCATATGAGAGAAATCACCACGCTCGATCACGAGAGTGTCGTGTCGTGTCATGAGAGAAAATTAGGATTAAATTTTGAGAAATGGAGCAAGCAAGTAGGTAATAACAATTTTTCTATTTAAATTAAATTTTTTTAATATAGGAAATACATGCCTTTTAACGGTCTAGAGATTCTCAAAAATTAAATTTTTTAATTTTTTACTGTTATTTTATGTTGTTCTTCTTTTATTCTTTGTAGTAACACTTGTATTGAGTAAGGTAACGCAATTTTGTAATGTAATGTTTCGAAGAAATTACGTTTTGAAGAAGAATTACAAGTAACTATTACTTTAGTTGAAAGAGAAAGTGTTTTTGAATTGATTATGTTATAATAATTTCTTTTAAAAAGAATTTGGCGCGATGTAGATTGAAATAAGAAAATCCTTCAATAGGAATACAAAGATACATTATACTTAGGTTTTATTATATAAAAATTAAAGATGGTATTACTTGGATTATATATTCATTATTTAATTTGATATGGTATTTAGTCTCAGTTCATATAAAATATCTTTTAGGGTAAACTAGGGTATTATGGCCATACGGAAAAGATGGCCATAAGCCATAATTTCTCCAATAATTGATAAATAGTGCATTTTTATAGACATTCTTAAAGATAATCAATATTTACAGTAGTTCATATGAGTACACTGTTCAAAATAACAATATTATATAAATATTATCTAATATTTTTTCTTTCGACTATCTGCAAAGTTTTGCACGTGTCTGCTAAAAACTGTTATAGTGTCTAATAAATTACAGTTAAGCTACCATAATCAACATTACATACACAATAAAGGTGCGTAAATTGCAATGTGACCTATAATTAATACTTTTATTTTCACTATTTATTTATAAATACTATGGCTATCTTTTTTTAATATCATGACTATCTTTTCCCTAAGAATCAGATAAGATCAATGCATACTTTGTAATATTTTGATAAAATTAAAGTTCTGTTAAGTATTTTTTCTTTAATTTCGATAGTATTTGTTACTTTAAGCTTCAGTGAAAGTAATATCCCAAATATTATTAAAAAGTAACAAGAATAAATGTATGTTTTTTGCATTTTAAAAAACTATGGCCATCATACCCGAGTTTACTCTATATAAATGATACATATTATTAAAGTTAAGTAAATAATAAAAATAGTACTTGAGTTTTTAATTTGGTACAATAGCTTTTTTTTTAAGAGAACGTACTTTCAGTGTCTTTTTTTGCATTTTTTTAAAAAGGTAAGTAAGTATGAATTTATATCTAAATGATTTATGTGTTACAAATCTATAGCGTGTTAAACTTAATTTGAAAATTTAGATAATATATTTATAACCTAATTAATTTTTTTATTAAAAACTAATTAAATGTACTGTTATATATAGTATATGCGCAGTAAAGTATAAAAATCGTTATAAGTATTAAATAAATATCAGAAATTAAAGAATCTTTACAAATATAAAGTGCATGTAAAACCTTTATACTGGGTGTCCCGACCTTTTTTGCCAATCACTTTTGTGTAGATAAAGCGGACTAAACTGAGTCGAAAAATCCTTTATCATTTTGCAATTTTCGCAACAGTTAACAAGATATTAATTATTAAAAATTGCAAAATATTGGTTTTAAATAATTTTTTACTCAAATACTATCAACTTTACAGAAAA